AGTTGTACGGGTTGAAAGCAAAGCAGTTGGTTTTAGTTTAGTAATAGTGTGTCATGAGTTAGCATGCCTGAGCACATGGTTAGTATGGGTGACTCGTGATTAGTGCGATAGCCCGCTATACATGAGAGAGGGTCATTTATGTAGATATTATTTGAGTATATAAGAGTTCATGATGTTGTTTAAGCTTATCTTAAACTTGCACATTTGGGTAATTTAACTCCTTCATGTCTGTTAACTGAGAATGCATTTCATTAGTCTTAATCAATCTGGTATTGACTTTATGGTAGGAAATACACCAGACAAGATTGAGTGAACATTGTTTAGACATGAGCATGTGATTAATATCTCAGCTGCATTGTTGTGTCATCAATTTCATACTGTCATAGTGGCCACTTCTAGGGCTGTGGTCAATGGCAAGCGAATTCATTCAAAAGGAGCAACATCTTTATCTAAAAGAATCAACCATGCAGTTGTGGTGGAAAATTTAAGCTGAATATTAAGAAAACCATGTTTTAATATTTGACCTTGTTTAACCTGCTAAATCTCTAAAACAATGTACTAAGACGTTCTGTATTTTACATGAATGTATGTGTGTCGAACCCCTGACTGTGTGTATAAATAACAAATATGGGAAATGAGACTAGACAGATGACTAAGTTAGAACTTGTGATCAATGAAGTAATCGTAAAAACAAATTCTTACCTAGTAACAGAAGGAATAACCAATCAAATGAATGTCATTATGCCATACCTCCCTATTGTATAAAAACTGTTGTTTCCGTGTTTTCGGAGGGATTCTCAATGGAAATTGTCTGAGATCCTCCGGCCTTGTTTATTCTTGGGAGATTCTCTGAGAAATGCTCGAGAACTCCTGGCCGTAATAAAGAACAGTTAAAGGACAATTACTCAAGTCTGTCTGTCATTAAAGCTGCGCAGCAATAGAACAAGTAAGTTAGATTATCGGCTCAACAGTAGTCGTCTGGAGACACGCTGGAGTATAGGTTTTAGACTCGGCAGTAGTCGTCTGGAGACATGTCGGAGTATAGTTAGGGACAAAAGGCTGTAGTCGTCTGGAGACACGCCAAAGGGTTAACGTAGCTAACGTCAAAAAATACATAGACGTGCTAGCGTATAAGTTATACTAGAATAGTTAGTCTTAGGGAGACAAATCTAAAATAGTTAGGTTTGAGGATAGAAAATTAATGACACAGTTCAAACCAAAAATGGGTCTGTCGCATTAATATGATCATTTATAAATGTAGGTAATGCGCAAGGAGAGGGTCATGCCTTCATTGATGTTATGAAAACAACAAGTAATGACATCAGCAGAGACAGAGAATCGGGGATAACAGCAACAAGCATTTTAAAAGAAAGGGATAGACTCAGTTGAACTAATCAAATGCACAGACATTCATTCAACCTGTGTCTATCTCAAGGACCTGCCAGGTCTTGCAAATATTTTTTTTTGCATCCAACCAAATAGAAGGGAGTTGGATTAAAAATAAATTGCTGGCTTTGCATCTTAATGTTATAAAATGTAAAAGTGTACAGTACACAGACTCATATCTCTTGAGTGTTGAAATGTCTTGGATGTTTGCATAAATGCATAATTTTGAAATGATTTAGAGTAATGGTTAATTTTTTATTTTTGCCTATATCTATTCTTACTCTTATTAATTGTATTCATTTATTTGTTAAGACTCATTGTTTCTATTGCTGCCAACAGCTAGAGCGTAATATAGTTCAATGAAATGTACTTGAATGTAATTAAATAAAAATTGTATGAATAAAACTACAGCAACTATCAGAGTTTTTTTCTCTAGTCTTATATAGCCTATCCTGAATCCAAAACCTGTAGGTTTTTTTATATTTATTTTTCATTTTGTATTTATTTATTTTTCATTTACAGGAAAAAACTCCTGTAAGAAAATATTTTGTTTCTGCAGGATTTTTTCACTTGTGCTGCACAGCAGTATGTTCAGTACAACAGAAACATGCAGGAACACCCAACACTAGTGAAAAATCCTGCAGGATTTTAAACTTCCTGCAGGACTGCTGTGCAGCACAAGTGAAAAATCAGGATACCTGCAGAAAATATGAAAATCCTGCAGGATTCCTGTAGGTTTTTTTGTAAGGGGGTTAAGGGTAAATATTCTTTTTGTAAAGAACATGAGATTTGAGTGTCACTGTGTCATAAATGCCACACGTCTCTATAGTGTGATGGGAAATGCTTAAAGCATAGACTGTAAAAAATAGGCTTAAAGTCACTTATGTTTACAGCCAGAGCCAGTCATTACTGTGAAAAAAAAAAGTGATACATGCACTGATGTAATGTGGGCTACTGAGCGTTTGTTATACACATGTATGCATGCCTTTATTATTTTGATTCAGAGTAAATACACCGTCAAGGAAGCCCTCACTGCAGCGCTCTCTTTTATTTAACCCTTGTGCTCCATTAGGGACATTTTTGGTCTTTTGCAGTTTAATTTCTTTGACCATTTTGGCTGTTTTAATGCAAATGGTATGTAATTTGGCAAAATTGTGACTTTTTAGATAAATGTAAAAAAAATTATCCCATTTTGCAAAATATGTATAACACACTCCGTGTAGAACAAATAGTAACACTCAGCACCATAATGGACAAAAATGTCCCATTGAAACCCATTAAAACGTCGTTTAAAGCCGGGGCCATCATTAATACACGAATCATGATTTATGTTGAAACATCCTTTCATTTTGAAGCAAAAGCATTATATTTGCATTATATAGTGTATTCCATCAGATGACGTCACTACATAGGTATTCCCTATGGGTGGAAATGCATGTTATTTTCCTGGTTTCCACTAGGGGCACTATTGACTGTGTTATGAAGCATTTTAATGGCTCAATGATCTAAAATTATGTTTCTGAGTATGTGTGGATGTCTGAGAGCAATGTGTGTCTGCGTTGACAAAAGTGTGTGTGTGTAGGGCCTAAATATAATACATGGTGTTTAGGCGAGTGACAAATCACAATATCCTGAAGGTCATATTTTACCCTTTCTGTCTACTCTCTCTCTCTCTCTCTCTCTCTCTCTCTCTGTGTGTGTGTGTGTCAGTGGTGTATGATGTGTGTGTAGGCGTGTGTGTGTGTGTGTGTGTGTGTGTGTGTGTGTGTGTGTGTGTGTGTGTGTGTGTGTGTGTGTGTGTGTGTGTGTGTGTGTGTGTGTGTGTGTGCGCATTTAGCAAGAGAAAGCGCTTCTCACTGCATTGTTTTCTTTCGGTTTGATTCATGCGTATTTTACGCACAGACATGAACCTTTGACACAGCTTCGTTTTTTTTTTAGCAGTCTATGTTTCAAAGTTAATTGATAATTTCTCACATACGTAGAGGCACAAACACAGCCATGCAGTCAGTCCTTAGACAATAATAACACCTTTCATCTTGCGGCAACACAAAGATGTAGCTGCGAGGGATCCAAAACAAAGTCTGCCTTTGTTTTGGATTAGACTAGTTGAGAAATCATAAGTGCGGTTGATGCAAAAGTTATAAAGCTGTGCACATCTTTGGTGCGGCAATTTCAAACTGAGCAGAAAATTCAGAGGAAAGTGGGTCTGCAGACACCCATGACAAGAGGAGGAGGGGGTGCAGTTTCTGCCCTAACAAAAAAAGAAAAATCTCCATCACCTGTTCAAAATGTGGCATTTACATCTGTAAGGAGCATGCATTGCAATTCTGCAGCTCCTGCAAATGAGCTGAAGAATGATTTTGTTTTGAAGTTTTGATATGTTTTAATAATAATAATAATAATTCATTACATTTTATATAGAGCTTTTCTCAGCACTCAAAGCGCTTTACATAGAAGGGGGAATCTCCTCAACCACCACCAATGTGCAGCTCCACCTGGATGATGCGACGGCAGCCATACTGCAAATTTGGCCAGGATTTTTTTGTGACCACAGAGAGTCAGGACCTCGGTTTAACGTCTCATCCGAAGGACAGTGCTCTTTGACAGTATAGTGTCCCACCATGTTAGGACCCACACAGAGCACAGGGAGAGCACCCCCTGCTGGCCTCACTAATTTTATGTTTATAGAATTAAATTGTTTATAGAAAAAATAAAAATTCATGTTCATGGTGATCTTGTAGTTTTGCTTTCTTTCTATAGCAAATTTTGATGTGTAGTGAGACAGGCACAGGTTATAATCACCTAGTAGAAATCAGGAAAATGTTTGCAGTACTACAGATGTTTGCAGTATGTCAATTATATGACACATGGTACCAACTGGTGGAAAACAGTAAAAAGTAAATATTTTACCCCAAGGCTTGGTAATGACAGGGTATTTGAATAGAAATGATAATTTTATGATATTATGACAGTGGGTTCAAAAATGGATATTTGAATGGGTTCAAATAGGACCAAATTTGTCCTTAACGCGCTATGTGTGATTTTTTGCAAAAATCTTACATATCACAAAAAAAATTAAAATGCACCAAAAACAATGTTGCCGCTAATCTTTGACATATTCAAGACTGTGATAATCCAAAGCTAAAGTTTTCTCTTTGCATTTAGTGTATGGAAAATAATTAAATTTTTGTGTTTTTTCCTCTTATACAAATTGATGGTATCGCCACCAAAACTGGTATTTAAAGGGTTAAAATCCTGAAATTAAATACATATTTGGTAGTTATGATGAGGACTGATGCTGGTTAAAAGATTTAACTTGGTAAAAGTGGAAAATAATAATAATATATAATATTTTAGGCAATGTTTAATATGTGGCCATTTTTGTCCATTAATGCACTCAACGGCGTAAAAAATCTAATGCAGCACAAGGGTTAATTCTTATTTAATCTTCTTATACGTCTTTTCAGGGGTATTACAATTTTGTTTTCGGTTTTATTTAGATTGTCATGTCAGTTTCATATGTGATTCAAAAGGGGGCGCCAGAAGCACGGCAAACTGCTGAAGACGCGGCGGCTTCCGTAAGTCACATTCTGAATGTCAGCTGTTTGCGGTTGCTGTCTGTTCAGACCAGACTAAGTTATGTTAACACTCTTTTGTCGTGCAGATTCGTGCGGATTTGTATAGACCCGGAAAGCTTTAAATCATGGATGAATCAGATACAAGCGCTATTCTTGCGGAGGACTCGGAGTCGGGTGACTCCAGCAAAGTCTGTTGTTGTTTTAAGGTGACACAAAACAAACCTCCTCCGCCGTGTTCGTGTCCATTTTCCGTGACCGTGGAGCCCGTTATGTTCCTGTCCACGTTCTCCATAGCTCTCCAGATGCCTCTATACACGCAGTACCTGTGGGAACGTCTCAGTGAAGATGTGGGTTATAATGGAACAAAGGGAGGAGGATGTAATGCATCTACGGTCCACGACCCTCTGCTGAAGGTAACCGACATTTGACACGTTGTCGTCTTGGTTTGGAACCATAAACGGAGAAGAACCGTTTTTCATTCCCAAATCAGCCGGTTCTTTTAGTGAATCAAAAACATACTGCGCGACCAGTGAAGGGTGAATTTCGAACGAATAACACTTTTGAGTCGGTTCTTTGTAGTGAATCAAAAGCGCGCCTATTGAATTTTGATTCCCGAACGAATGACACTTTTGAGTCGGTTCTTTGTAGTGAGTCAAAAACACACACAGAATAGCGCATCGTGTAGTTCGATTCCCGAACGAATGACTGTCACTGTTATGACTGTCACTGTTATTATCTTAATATACAGAGCCACAGTACCGTAGTTCGATTCCCAAACGAATGACACTTACGAGCCGGTTCTTTCTGTATAGTGAATCACAAAATTGGAAAACAGTTATTTTGCTACCAGTAAAGTCTGATTCCCAAACAAATGACACTTTTAAGCCTTTTCTTTTTAGTAAATCAAAAATAAAAGTATAAAAGAAAATATACACCGCTTGTAGTTCGATTCCCGAACGAATGACACTTCTGAGGATGTTCTTTTACAAAATTGGACCACTGTACCCTGAACATATTGGGGGACCAGTAAATCCAGATTCCCGAACTAATGACTTTTATGAACCTTTTCTTTTAGTGGATCAAAAACATCAACTCAACCAGTGTATTTCGATTGCCGAACATATGGCAGTCACAGGACACCTACATTATGAATGGCTTTTTTTTTTTTTTTTTTTGTAAAACACAAAATTGGACCAGTCAGTGTAATCCTATTTCTGAACGAATGACACATGAACCGGTTCTTTTTACTAGTGGATTAACTCATTTTTAATGATACGGTATATTCAACTGGGAATTATTATTACATTATCACACTTGCCACTAAAGGAGGCTGTTGTGTTTCAAATACTAAAAAGCTACATATGTTTCCAAAAGAGAACTTTAATATGTAATTTATTTCCCTCGTCTAGGAAGTGGAGACTCTGACTGCACACTGGAACCTGTACATCAATTTGGGTGGTTTTCTAGTTGGGCTGATTACGGTGACCCTGTTGGGCTCATGGAGTGATCGTGCAGGTCGGCGTATGGTTCTGATCATCCCATCCCTTGGCCTGGCTGTTCAGGCAGCCGTTTATTTGATTGTAATGTACCTGAAGCTGCCTGTGTTCTGGTTCCTTATTGGGAGGATCTGCAGCGGCCTCTCCGGGGACTTCAACGCCATTTTGGCCGGTTGCTTTGCGTATGTGGCCGACACGAGTGGCATGGGTTCTCGCACCTTTCGTGTGGCGATACTAGAGGCTTGTCTGGGATTGGCTGGCATGTTTGCGAGCATCATCGGAGGACTGTGGCGACGGGCACAAGGGTACTCGGCAGCTTTTCAAACATAAAATAAAATTGTTATATTTCTGTCAAAAAAAACAACAACAACAACAACGTCATGTTTCCCTCCAGGTATATCAACCCTTTCTGGCTAGTATTGGCCACAAATCTTGCAGCGGCCTTCTACACATACCTGTTTGTGCCTGAAACCGTCACCCCTGACCCCGGGGCAAAACTCCTCTCCACCAGGCATCACCGGGCCATCTACCACCTCTATGAATCTGACACGCCACAGGGACGCAGAACTAAACTATGGTTTTACATTTTCTGCTTCTTTTTGGTGGTGTCTGTACATTTGGGCTGCAGTGACCTCTATGTGCTCTATGAGTTGAGTGCTCCGCTCTGCTGGGGTCCAGAGCTGATTGGTTATGGCTCTGCGGCCAAGAATCTGGCCTACCTCACCAGCCTGATGGGGCTCAGGGCCATGCAATGCTGTCTGGAGGACTCCTGGGTGGCTGTGGTGGGCCTTACCTCTAATATTGTTGGCTTGATTGTGATTTCGATCGCTGACACTACAGCTCTGATGTTTACCGGTAAGATCTTCTATATTCAGTTTATACACCACTGTTCAAAAGGTTGGGGTCGTAAGATTTTTTAAATATTTTTGAAAGAAGTCTCTTATATGCTCACCAAAGCTGCATTTATTTATTCAAAAATACAGTGAAAACAGTAATATTGTGGAGTATTACAATTTAAAATAACTGTTTTGTATTTTAATATCAATTATAATGTATGTAAGCAATAAGGTACGTCAGGCTGTGCTGTATCGTGAATAAGTAACGGCTGGAGGGCGTTGTTAGGCACGACGCGAAGCGGAGTGCCTGCAACCCCTTCAGCCGTTACTTATTCACGATACAGCACTTGCCTCGAGTACCTTATTGCTTTTATAAAACGGTTGCCACACAATAAAAATATTAAAGCCGAAAAATATGTATCTATGCAACTTTCATGAAGTAAAATCACTAAAAGCCTGCCTTCCGCTGGAAAAAATAGTCCCGGAACGTGAACAGCAACAGAAGTTACATATATTATTTCGCCAATAGATGGCGGCAAAGACTGTCTTTATGAGTGAGTGAGTGAGTGAGTCTGTAGAGAAGGCTTTTGAAAGGACTCGAACTTGTGATCACGGAGAAGACAGACGCAACTGACAGATGACTAACGTTATGCACGGAAAACCCCATGACTGTTAAAAGGACAAAATATGCAGCGGACATTCAAACGCATTTTTTTATTATGAATATAGGACTGACCTGAAGGAAAATGCTACGTCTACTGTAAATGCAGGTACACTCGCTTACTCGATCTCTCACAATGCTCTGCTCTAGCTTTAAATGAACAATATCAATGAGATGAAACATCTGTTTAAGTTGCTAAGAGTGGTTGCTAGGGGTGTTGTGTAGTGATACATAGAACCGTTGGGTGAAGCGGTCATAGCCGTGTTTTATCGTGAATAAAGCACAGCTATTGACCAATCAGAATCAAGGATTGGAACTAACCGTTTTATAATATGAAATATAGTTTTAATGTATTAATTATTTTAGATCTATTTTAATATGTAAACATTGCATTTATTCCTGTGATGGCAAAGCTGCATTTTCAGCAGCCATCTGAAGCATCACATGATCCTTCAGAAATCATTCTGCTGATTTGTTGCTCAAGAAACATTTCTTCTTATTATCAATATTTTAAAACAGTTGTGCTGCTTAATATTTTTTAAAGACCGTAACATCCTTTCAGGCTTTCTTGATGATTTCTTTTTTTGTACCAATGGAAAATTCTTTGTCACTTTTGATCAATTTAATGCAAATCTTAAAACAAATATTACTGACATCAAATTCATGTAGTTATAAGTGTGTGTAAAAATATGTATAATATATTTTATAAACATACAATTTTATTTAAATGTATATTATGAATCTTATAGTTATATTTTTATATGGATGTTTATTTAGTGATTATATAATGCATTGTGTTGTTTAAAACTGATTATTTACTGGTTAACAAGATTTACAACCAGTTTTTACAAACAATTGAAAGTTTACTTGTACAAAACGGTACAGCAAAATGTCAGAAAACATTGATTGAAAAGTAACATAATTTAACTGACACTTTTCCAGAGTGACTATAAGACGTGTTAATGTTCTACTGTTTAGATTAGGCCTATATTACAGGAGAAAGGTCAAGACACTCTTTCTTGACATTTCGAAATATACAGTGCTGATGCAACCTCACGCTGTCCTCCAGTGGCTAAAGTAGATAAATATGAATCAAGGAAATTAACTTGCAGAAGTTGCTTATCTATCTGTCTTTGTCAGGATATGGCCTGTGCTTCCTTTTTATGGCCTCTACCCCAGTCCTGAGATCTAAACTGTCCAAGCTGGTGGACCCTTCAGAACAAGGTGAAACAAAGATGGCATTTTGTCACAAATTAGTAACCTTTAGAATTAAATGGAATAACATGTTTTATTATTATTATTTTGTCTTAGGTGCTCTGTTTGCTTCAGTGGCGTGTGTGGAAGGTCTGTGCTCACTAGTATCTAGTGGGGTTTTTAACACTCTGTACCCTGCCACCCTACACTTCATGAAGGGATTCCCTTTCCTCTTTGGGGCCGTCATCCTCCTCATTCCAGCTGGCATTATTGGGTAAGACCCCCTCAATGATTGTCATTTAGACTCTCAGTTCGAGAATGAATAACATATTTTTATTATGATGTATACAGGGGCTTGGGTTGCCAGGAGAAGAGAGAGAGCAGAACAAACAGAGAAGACTCTGGAATATCTTGACAATTGACTCTGTGAGTTTTTCTAGAACAGCAAAGGACAGAATGAGTCCAGGAATAAGCAATAATTTTCTGCACAACTGGGATCCTAAAGTTGATTGCCAATAGAGCGCACAAAATGGACTTGTGTCCAATTCGTGATGACTTGGCCATGCAGGTTGCTGTGATTTTGCCAAGAACAACATTCCTGACCAAGAGTATGATTTTTTTTTTAAAGAAATTATTCCGCAAAGATACATTGAATTGGTCAAAAGTGACAGTAAAAACGTTTATGATGTTACAAAATATTTCTATTTCAAATAAATGCTTTTCTTTTGAACCTTCTATTCATCAAAGGATCTTGGGGGAAAAAAAAACTGTTTCCACAAAAATATTATGCAGCACAACTGTTTTCAGCATTGATAATTAGACATTTTTCTCAAGAACCAAATTAGCATATTAGAATGATTTCTGAAGGATCATGTGACACTGAAGACTGGAGCTTTGGATCACAGGAATAAATTATGTTTTTTTAAGCGGATGTGTGTAGAGACTGAGAGTTTATTGTTCCTCATCATGTTAATGTCAACCTTTTTAATCTTTTGTCTTTTCTTCTTTGTAAGCAATAATGACCACTGCCACTTTCATAAAAAAACTGTTTACTGAAGTTTTGTGTAGATTTATACAGGGATGCAGTACACACACATTGAATCAGTCATGTCTCTCACCTCTCTTTTCTTTACTGTGCACTCTCACTCTCCCCCTAAGCATTATGGGAAAACAATTCTTAAAGCTGAACAACATAATAAATGTCAATTTAAACTATTTCTATTATTACTGAAGACAACTTACTAAACATACTTTTATTACTATTACTCATTAATTCACAACATTGAAATGCTTCCCCAATGTTAGTTGTGTTCTAGTTATCTGAAAATTACAGGGATTTGAGAGGAGACTCTTGAAATTATGGCTTGTCTGTGTCGTTTGCAGTATACTAACAGGAAGTGAAAATTACATCTTGTGATTTGTGCTTGTCTGAAAGTGTCAAATCGTTTATCTCAGTGGTTTTGTATTGGAATATTTGAATACAGTGCAACAAGGAATTTATTTGTGAAACAAAAATTTGGACATGCAGAATATGTATGATTTACATATATGAATATGAGTAATGTTTTTCCAAAACCAGTTTTATTGCTGTTTATTTCTCAAAAAGAACATTTCATTATTTCATTGTACAGATTTTACACGTTGTTTAAGACATGAAAGACAGACTGGCAAACATCATAAGGCAACAGTAGGGAGATCAATAGCAGGATAAAGCTTGAGGTGTCAAGAGGTGTTAGTAAATGTTCATTAGCATTTCCCTTGACCTGTTGAATCTTCACAGTGTCTGAAAATGTATCAGTGACTCAAATATGCTGCATAATATCCTTGCAAATCCTAGGAAAGCCTCTACAGCAGTATTTCAAGTCATGTCACTGTCTAAAAGGATTTTTTTTCTAATACTGCACGAGGTGATGAATAACCATTATGATTTAGATGTGAAAAATTGTTCTTTGCTTTGTGAATGATGCAAGATATAAAATAAAATAACAAACCTGCACAAACCTGTAATTATTCACGAAAGAATAACAGAAACTCTTTTTATAGAACTACAGTGTATTTGACGCTTTTAATAACCTACTGCAAACCAAATTCAGAAAAATTAAAAATTTACATTTCATAAGGCTTTTTTAATATTTCAATTGATAATGCTATAATGCAAGATTATCTAGTATTATCTATCATATAAACAGAGACTGATTATGCTTTATGCTGATGTCATAAATACGATTGATAATGCAGAAATCGATTCAACTTCCTGAGTTACAGAAATGTCCCACACAATTCTGGGAACGTGGTCAGTACTTAGCTAGTATGATTACTGCAATTGAGGAATATTCTTAGAATTAGAATAATCCTTAAGGTGCGGTCACATTTATTGTTGTTCGGAATCCAACGCAATCGCAAATTTTGTGTGAGTGTAATAGATTTCCCTATGTAGATTTGACAACAGGTTTCAAATTTCACCACATTGACCACCAGAAAGCTGGCTTGTTTGAAAGTGACTGTGTAAGCTGTGAATCATACATCACTACTATGACGCGTGGCTTTTTCTTCCCGTGAAATTTTGCCAAAATGTCCCTAATGCGACGGCACCTTTAAAGTTTCATTGCGTCTCTGGGTAGGTTACATTTATTAAATTTTTTTCTCCAAGAAAATTCAACCGTAAGCTATCTAGACCAGCTACATGCATACAACCAAAGGAAACGCTGGCCTCTGAGGGTTAACAGGAGCGTTCTGGTTACATGATGGCCATTATTGGGAACGCAACATTATTTTATTTCTGGCTCTTTTTTGTCTGTTTTTGCAGCATCTGGTTGCTCTTGGCTGGGGCATTGCGCTGTCTTGGAAACGCATCTTGGCTGTAGGAAGCGCAGAATCTTGTCGATAGTGGCTTCCTGATACTCATGGGACCACCTGTGACATTAAGAGAAAAGATTTACATTCATTATTTTTCCAATTAGACAAGTGCAAATCTCTACAATAAAAGCTCTTATTGGATATGGATCTGGGGCCGTATTCACAAAGAATTTTATCTTACCACTAGGAGTACTCCTAAATCGCACTAAAATATTTTTGTCATGGCTGGTTGAAGTGAACAAGAGAGTAGGATCCATTTGCAGCATTTATTAAACATACAAACTCAAAACTACAGAAACGTGAACTCAGGAACAAGAAACAAGGTCAGGACAGAACAACCAGCTAACAAACATTAAGCACTCACCAAGACTACACAAGACACACAGGCTTAAATAAGCTAACATGATAACGAATGGGTGTGGTCAATGGGAAACACCTGGGAAGACTATTAACACGCAGGGAACAATTAACCAAGAAACATAACAAAACTACAAGACTAAACACATGACCACTAAGCATGAACCCAAAGACAGAACACAGAACTAAATACGAAACAGAATCCCCCCCTCTAAGGAGCGGATACCAGACGCTCCACAAACATAAGTCCCGGGTGGTGGTGACACAGAGGGAGTCCAAGAGGGAGGTGGGACGGACAAACAATGAAATAACCTGTGCCTGCAACCAGGGCGGGGCAGGCAGTTCAGGAACAAACTCAGTGGCGCCCTCTACCACCTGTTCCGGGTCAAGTTTGAGAGTGACCTCCATGACGTGCTCCGAGACTGACTCTCGAGCGACCTCTACGGCGTGCTCGAGAACAAACCCGCGAGCGACCTCCACGGCATGCTCGAAAACAGACTCGACCTCGCTCTCCGTGACGAATCCAGGGACAGCCTCCTCCACCGCAATCTCAGGGACAGCCTCCTCCGCCGCAATCTCAGGGACAGCCTCCTCCGCCGCAATCTCAGGGACAGCCTCCTCCGCCGCAATCTCGGGGACAGCCTCCTCCGCCGCGATCTTGGGGACAGCCTCCTCCGCCGCAATCTCGGGGACAGCCTCCTCCGCCGCAATCTCGGGGACAGCCTCCTCCGCCGGAATCTCGGGGACAGCCTCCTCCGCCGCAATCTCGGGGACAGCCTCCTCCGCCGCGATCTCGGGGACAGCCTCCTCCGCCGCGATCTAGGGGACAGCCTCCTCCACCGCGATCTCGGGGACAGCCTCCTCCGCCACGATCTCAGGGACAGCCTCCTCCGCCGCAATCTCAGGGACAGCCTCCTCCGCCGCAATCTCGGGGACAGCTTCCTCCACCATGATCACAGGAACATCCTCCTCCGCCACGATCTCAGGGACAGCCTCCTCCGCCGCAATCTCAGGGACAGCCTCCTCCGCCGCGATCTTGGGGACAGCCTCCTCCGCCGCGATCTCCGGGACAGCTTCCTCCGCCGCAATCTCAGGGACAGCCTCCTCCGCCGCGATCTCCGGGACAGCTTCCTCCGCCACAATCTCAGGGACAGCCTCCTCCACCATGATCACAGGAACATCCTCCTCCACCACGATCTCAGGGACAACCTCCTCCGCCGCGATCTCAGGGGCAGCCTCCTCCGCCGCGATCTTGGGGACAGCCTCCTCCGCCACGATCTCCGGGACAGCTTCCTCTGCCGCAATCTCAGGGACAGCCTCCTCCGCCGCGATCTCCGGGACAGCTTCCTCCGCCGCAATCTCCGGGACAGCCTCCTCCACCATGATCACAGGAACATCCTCCTCCGCCACGATCTCAGGGACAGCCTCCTCCGCCGCGATCTCGGGGACAGCTTCCTCCACCATGATCACAGGAACATCCTCCTCCGCCACGATCTCAGGGACATCCTCCTCTGCCGCAATCTCAGGGACAGCCTCCTCCGCCACGATCTCAGGGACAGCCTCCTCCGCCGCGATCTCGGGGACAGCTTCCTCCACCATGATCACAGGAACATCCTCCTCCGCCACGATCTCAGGGACATCCTCCTCTGCCGCAATCTCAGGGACAGCCTCCTCCGCCGCGATCTCGGGGACAGCTTCCTCCACCATGATCACAGGAACATCCTCCTCCGCCACGATCTCAGGGACAGCCTCCTCCGCCGCGATCTCAGGGACAGCCTCCTCCGCCGCGATCTCAGGGACAGCCTCCTCCGCCGCGATCTCGGGAACAGCTTCCTCCGCCGCGATCTCAGGGACAGCCTCCTCCCCCTCGATCTCAGGAACAGGTTCCTCCGCTGCGATATCCGGGACAGCCTCCTCCACCGTGATCACAGGGACAGCCTCCTCCGCCGCGATCACAGCTTTCGGGAATAAAGTAAGCTTGTGGGGCTCCCCTTGAACCGAACCCACATTGAATGGTGAGTCGGTTATGAAAAGGGCAAAGACAACATACTGTGCCAGTGTGTAATGCGGGGTGTCAAACGGCATAAGTAAATAAAGGAACTTGTCGAATCCCCGACCAAACATGTCTTTCAAAGCAGCGTCCTCAATATCCACCTCCTGGCAAAATTCACAAAACTCCCGCACATACTCATCCATCGGACGATTCTCCTGGCGGGAGCAAAAAACTGTTGGATCCTTTGCTGGGTCATGGCTGGTTGAAGTGAACAAGAGAGTAGGATCCATTTGCAGCATTTATTAAACATACAAACTCGAAACTACAGAAACGTGAACTCAGGAACAAGAAACAAGGTCAGGACAGAACAACCAGCTAACAAACATTAAGCACTCACCAAGACTACACAAGACACACAGGCTTAAATAAGCTAACATGATAACGAGAGGGTGTGGTCAATGGGAAACACCTGGGAAGACTATTAACACGCAGGGAACAATTAACCAAGAAACATAACAAAACCACAAGACTAAACACATGACCACTAAGCATGAACCCAAAGACAGAACACAGAACTAAATACGTGACAATTTTTGCTAGGAGTTTTCTCTTAAAGGTTATTCACAACGCCTTTCAGACCTACTCTTAGTAACGAAAAATGACAACTCCTAAACTAAGAGCGAGTCTTCGTTGCTATGGATGACGTCAATTCTCATGCACGAGCTTCCTCGCAATGATCACAGTGATTGGTTGTTAGATGACAGGGCCATCATGCGGAACATAACACAGACGCAACAAATCATGGAATTACGACATCTTAATATGTCTGTCCTACACAAAATAATAATAGTAATGTCATCGAAATGCATATCATGTTTGTGCAGGCCCCAGTGAAGTGTAATTCTAAAAAGGCAGAGAGAGAGAAAAGTTGTGAATTAAATTAAATTAAATCAAGGTAGCCTAATACCCTAATGAAAACTGCCACTTGCCTAAAAATGAAAAACGACACTTGCATTAACACTTGTTTAATTAATTGACATCCTATTAGCCTAAATAGACTAATTAAAGCAAGGAAATGTTGCTCCTATTGAAGTAATGTATTAGTTGAATGACGGTGGATTATGAATAGGGATGGGAATTGATAAGATTTTATCAATATCAATGCCACTAACGATTCTGCTTATCGATCCAATTCTTTAACGATTCTCTTATCGATTCCTGATAGCACTGTGAGGGAAAAAGTAGTCTTTTTCGGGGGAAAAAACAAGTTGTTTTATTTGTTTTAAAGCTTACACTTGACTAAGCAAACTGTACTTTTTATGTAATAAATGGAACCTTATTGTAAAGTGTTACCGATTAGTTATACACCGATTAAACGCCCCGTGAGTTCAGTGTTGGAAAGATCAGTTGTTTTAACCATTCATTAAAACGAATCGGTTCAAATGAGTAATTAGTTCGCGAATTGGACGTGTCATTATCGGACGTGTGCTCGTTGTGTGATTATCCCGGCAGTTGGGACATCCCACAAGATGTGTGTCATCACAGAAAACATTTCATCACTGGATCGTTTTTTTCGTTTATTTGAAGTGTGATTATGTCAGCTGAATGTGCGGAACACTTTTCAGAGAAGATAAGGCAACGTATTTTAGCACAATTCACACCCAGCGGCAATTCAGGAAAAACAAATCTCCGAATGCTCCACAAAAAACTTTAGTCTCCCTACCTTACCATCGTGTCGTTTATTTTGATTAATATGTGCGAGGGAGAGAGGAAGACAGCGCTTAGTTTTGAGACAGTAAAGCCTACTTTCGCCTTGCTCCGAAGAGAGAGAGTGCGTGCGCGCGACCGGGGCTCTCTCGCTCTCTCTCTCTCTCTCTTTCTGCTCGATCAGTTTAACATGCGCCCTGTCACAAGCGCAGCGGTTCATCTACATTACCAGAGAGAGACAATTTTACTCACTGATCAAATAAGACTTTGCAGGACAAAGATTAGCTTTGGACGCGGTGCTATGGTGCTTGATAAAGGACAAAAGGGACAGAGCAGGAGCATCGATAAGAGGACTCGTTAACGTCGAGGGCATACAATATCGATGGATCGTAAAATTTAGAACCGGTTCTCGAGTGGAACCGGTTTTCGATTCCCATCCCTAATTATGAACTCGCCAAAACGGAAAAGAAAGCCCAACTGGACACAGGATCAGTTACTGCTGCTGGCCCAGTTGGTGCTGGAAAAAAAAACATAATAAAAGGGAAATTCGGCACTGGGATATCAAGCAAAACTAAGCGTGAGAATGGGAGAGGATTTGTTTGCAGATCAATGCAGCATTCCCGCTTGTGTCACGGACCCCGGACGACTGCGAGAGGCGGTGGTATGCACTACAATCCTTTGTGAATAGGTCTTAGTGATTTAGGAGTCCTCTCGACTTCTTTTAAGCTGTCCCAGACTTAGGTGCTACTTTTAGGGCTAAAATGCTTCGTGAATTACTCTTAGTGAAAAAAAAATTAGGAGTCCTAAAGTTAGTACATATTATATGTTAAAGAGTAACTGCACCAACATGTTTAGCGAGACAGAGTGTTGACTTACTTAATGCCATTAAATTTGAGAATGGTCCTCATGTCCTCCGGCAGAGAGGCCGGATCGGGCCACACAAAGTTATCAGTGACAGGAACAATGTTCTTCTTCTCATTCAGAGCAGTGACAATCTCCTGTGGATGACAAATTAAATCGTTTAGCCTCACTGACAATATTAATACACATAATTACATACTTCAAAGTGTTGGCAGAAGGGCGTTTTGGCATTTTCTGAGAATAGATTTATGGATTCTCAAATAGGGATTTAGGTAATGATGACTATGACTCAAGCCTTAAGGCCTGAGTTTTCCAGTTGAAGTGCAGCATTTTTGTGTAATGAACTGAACCTTGATCAGTGTAAAAAATGACTTTATTTATAAAAGTAAAGCTTAATCACAGAAAGGATTTCTCTCTCTAACCTTATGAACCCAGTCTTTCATAGCCACGTCGCCCATACATTTGTCCAACGCATTGGCTGACAGCACCAAGATGAAGTTTCGAGCTCGGTGCACGCTCGTGATCAGCTTCTCCTCGAACCTGCCGGCTTCCAGTTTCTCCACGTCGATGAAGACGCTGAAACCATGTAACTGTAGATGCACCTTCAGTAGGCTGCAGAGAAAGAAAAGAACAGGAGATTTAGATTATTTCAAAACAATAAATGGTTGATATTCAAATTATGTACTACGTTGTCTAAATAAATTAAAAATAATGATTTAAAAAAGCTACAAGTTAATTTAGGAATCACAAATGGTAAATCCATTTTTCACAGTATGCAAAGTATGAAAAAATGGATTTATATTTTGAGATTTGCATTTAACATTTCAAAAGAGCAGTCAAGATTACATTTAACGGCGTTATTAAATTAAAAGTGATTTTAAAGATTAACTTTAAAGTCTTTAAGAGTTACATGGTCAAAGTAATAAAAAAAACTTTGGTTACTAAACGGATGATGATGATAAGATGGATAAGAGCCATCTCATTTGTGGTCTGACCTGGCAAGCTGTGAACCCGTAGTGCGACGGTAGCTGATGAACACATCAGGGCCTGCAGGCTGGGAATCAGTTAACTGTTTAGCAGGGCAGCTGGCGGTAGAAAGGATCTTGGCACGATGGATGCCATTCTCTATATGGCAGTCAGACAGCAACTGTTCGTCTGTAATCTTGGCAATATTGTTCCGATCAACTCCAGACTGAATTAAGCCGTAGGTGTACTGACGGAATCGCGGGTCTACATCGGCCAGCCAGTCTGCCAGGTTATTGGGGTCACATGTGGAGTAGTTGGCGTAGGTCTTCAGCACACGCAGATCTCTAAGAAATCTGTACAGAGAATTGCTACAGGTTATGATAAAATGCCTCCATTTTGCCTCTTTTTTTTTTCATTTCAATTTACACTGGGGCTAAAGTAATGACTGCTGAGAATTCAGCTTTACTATCACAGGAATTAATCACATTGGAAAATATATTCACATAGAAAACAGTTGTTTTAATATGTAATAATTTCACAATATTACTGTGTTACTGTATTTTTGTTTCAAATATATGCAGCCTTGGTGAGCATGATAAGAGACTTCTTTCAAAAACATTTAAGAATGTTAATTATTCCAAACTTTTGACCCCCAGTGTACATTATAACATTTGTTTAAAATTATTTTTTATTTCTTTTCATTTCTCAAAATCCTAAAACCTCCAGGTTTTTAAATTAGATTTTTAATCTTTTGGACCCTAATTATGATTATGAACATTTCTATAAATATTTTTAAGAATGAATACTTTTCCAAGAATTAAGTAGCACTAGCCTCTTCCGAGTGAGTCCAGATGTCATGGCCAGATCCTGGATCAGATCCTGTTCTGTGATATTGAGCAGCAGATCTCCATCTACCTGCAGTTCCTGAGAGATATGGTGCAGAAAACTGTGATTAAGTCCACAGCAAACATCGGCATGATATCATCATATCTTTCACCATTATCTTGTTCAGCTGAACAGGAAATAGGAGCTGTGTACAAACCTGAAACCGTTCAGTGAATGCAGTGAAGCCAATCTGCTGAAGCCAGGTCTGCACCTCTCCACTCTTCCAGTTGGGTACAGATGACAGGATACGCTTCGGGACGTCCTCACTCATCATTGTTAAGGCCCGCTTAGCCAAAGAGCAGACAGTGGCATTACTGGAGTACATGACGATCCTCTTTAGACTCTGGACAGCCCCAATCTCCTGAAATATCTGAGTAGAAAGATCCAATACTTAATATTCATTAAATGTATGAATATACTTTATATATTTTGTATACTTGTGCCTTAGTTATTATATGATTATATGTTATGTTTTTATATTGCATAATAATTTTTATTCGATTTTTCTAGACCCTGAACAGCTCCACTCTCCTGAAATACCCGGGTAGAAAGATCCAGGATTTTACCTGATTTATTACCGGATTTATTAAATGTATGAATATTTTATTTTATATATTACTTATTCTCATGTCTTGGTACTATATATCTGTATTAATTAAATAAAACTATATATATATATATATATATATATATATATATATATATACACACAGAAAGAGAGAGAGATTTATTATATTTTATATAAATATATACACTATATACTAAGACACATGCTCTCACACATTTCAGCTAACAGGGAACAGTCTCAGACAAAGTTATGAACGTGTTCTTCCAGTAATGTTTTTTGAAACATTTTAGTTGGGCATTAGTCTAATGTTTTTAAAATGTTTCTACTTACTACTTTTTTCAGATGGTTTAGACTAGAGAACATTCGAATGTAACGTTCCCATAGTACTTGCAAAATGATAACATAGATAACACATTTCCTTAATGTTTTCTCTAATGTTCACATAACCAAGCCAAGGAATTTTTTATTTTTTTACATTTAAAAAACTTGATGTTTTCAATGCTCTGAGAACATTCACAAATAACGTAACTTAAAGGAGAACTCCGGCGCAAAATGAACCTTTGGTCTAATTACACATTGTTTCCTAGTCAACCGTTATCTGAGATTTGTTTTCATGATTATCGAATGTAAATAGTTTTATCTCTAAAAACAGTTTAGCCTATAAAGCTAGTATAACGCTAATATATTGGGCATAGATCAATGACAAATAAAAATCGCTTGTTAATACCACTAACAAGGCTCAAAATAGCCCCACACTAGCACGGTAGCATAATGAGGGTCCCTACCTTCAAACCGAAGCATTGAGAAATTTGTCAGTGTCCAGACAGTTTAATAAGAAGATATTTTATACATACAGTCAACTTCGCGTATACAGGCAGGAGCCATCTTTGAAAAAGAGTCTCTACCAGTCAATCTACGAACGCCGATCCAAGCCTGCTGTTCGCGCTCACCTTATCACAACTTATAGCTCGTTCACATCTCACCAGCGCACTTGGATCGGCGTTCGTAGATCAACTGGTAGAGACTCTTTTTCAAAGATGGCTTCTGCCTGTATACGCGAAGTTGACTGTATGTTTAAAATATCTTCTTATTAAACTGTCTGGACACTGACAAAGTTCTCAATGCTTCGGTTTGAAGGTAGGGACCCTCATTATTAGGGGTGGAACGGTACACAGAAGTCACGGTTCGGTTCATACCTCGGTTCAGACATCACGGTTCGGTACGATTTCGGTACAATGGAGGGAAAAGCAAAACAAAAATGCAGAATGCATTGTATTTTTTAAATAAGTTTTATTATATAAAGGCATAGAACCAGTTTATTTGTAGTGCACTGACAATAGTTTTATATAATTAGTTTATTAATTAAATCAATGAAAAGACAAAAAGACCTTGCGATATGTTTGGTAATTGTACCTGAATTAATTTAAAATTAATTTGCTATATTTCAGATCAATATATTTGTTTTCCTTAATTTTAATTAACATTATTAATTAACAATTTAACATTATTCTTATCTGAATTATAAATAATTGATTTCTGTTAAAATAATACTACCATTAAAAACACATTCGATTTTCTTTTTTAATCAATGTAGAGTGTGTAAGATTAGTGCTCCGAGGACGAGAAATGAAAACCAATGCGATATGACGAATGTCCAAAAGATGGGACCCACAGACTGTTTTGAAATGGAGTTGGATAAATATGTTTTTCTTTTAAAACAGTGTGTGTGTGTGTGTGTGTGTGTGTGTGTGTGTGTGTGTGTGTGTGTGTGTGTGTGTGTGTGTGTGTGTGTGTGTGTGTGTGTGTGTGTGTGTGTGTGTGTGTGTGTGTGTGTGTGTGTGATTTTGGTTGAGTGACAGTTGTAGGTTACAGTTTGACTAGAGTTTACAGTGTGCACAATGTTGTGTTTTATTGCGAGTGTACACAAATATAAGTAAACACTTATATTTGGTTTACACTTATATCACAGGTTTAATGATCTGTATGAACAAAATTACGGAGTATGTTTTTTTTTATGTTTCCACTGTTCGGCCGCGCGCCTCTCTCCTCTCTCTCTCTCTCTCTCTCTCTCTCCCTCCCTCTCCCTCTCTCTCTCCCTCTCTCCCTCTCTCCCTCTCTCTCTCTCTCCCTCTCTCTCTCTCTCTCTCTCTCTCTCTCTCTCTCTCTCTCACACACACACACAGTTCGATCGCGCCTCTCTCTCTCTCTCTCGCGCGCGCACACACACACACACACACAGTCCAGCATTGCAATCTTGACATCGCAGCCTTCATTATGCGGTCACACCAAACGCGAATAGAGCGTCAAATTCGCGTCTAGTTCGACGCTAGTCCAAAGCGAATAGGACGTTCAGAGCTAAGCCGATGGTACAGATTATGTGTCCCTAAAGAACCCGCGTATCTAACAGTAGTTCCGCATTACATTAATTAATTTGCACGCGAGTTTTTATTAATTTTTATACCGTGTATTCTCCGTGTAAATTCGTGCACCGAACCGTGACGCCCGTACCGTTTCGGTTCGATACGAATACATGTACCGTTCCACCCCTACTCATTATGCTACCTTGTTAGTGTGGGGCTATTTTGAGCCTTGTTAGTGGTATTAACAAGCGATTTTTATTTGTCATTACTCCATGCCCAATATACTAGCGTTATACTAGCTTTATAGGCTAAACTGTTTTTAGAGATAAAACTATTTACATTCGATAATCATGAAAACAAATCTCAGATAACGGTTCACTAGGTAACAATGTGTAATTAGACCAAAGGTTCATTTTGCGCCGGAGTTCTCCTTTAATTGGAACATTAGCAAATTGTTCATTGGAACATATTTTTGTTAGTTGGGGAAGGCCTAGAGAATCGAATATAGTGTCTGTCTGACCTTGGTATTACGTTGACGGGACTTGATACTAGTCTCCACGCACAGGTAGAACACGGCGATGCATTTCCCCTCAAGACGTGTGCCATCCAGCAGGGGCAGCAAGTGCTGCAGGTCTGTCGCCGTGCGGCCCTGCATGCTGTCTGCGCTGTCCAAAAGGTTGCGTGCAAACTCATCAGGGTCTAAGGAGGCGATGAAGGGCTCCACCAGCTCCAGAGTACCAGACTTCACCACTTCTTTCTCTATCTCCCTGTTGGCCGCCAGTACAGCCACGGCCAGGCAGGCATGGAACCGGATCAGCTCGTCCTCTTTGGAGAACGCCAGAGGGAACAGCCATTCAGCCGCCTGTTTTTCGATCATCAGACGCTGGCAGCTGTGCCCGCCATGCATGGCGCAGTTTGCCAGGGCCACAGCGCAGTGCCGCAGTACAGTTGGGTCTGTTCCACGGCACCAGTACAGGAGGGTGTCCAGTGCCCCGTTAGTGATGAGCTGCGCAGATGTCTCCTCTGTGTGTTTAAACATGTGCTCAAGGATGCCCGACACACTTCGTGCCAGCTGGGCGTCCTCCTGCTCACGGGTCAGGTTCAGTATGACCCCAAGGCCCATACGGGCCACATAATCCCTGCAAAGAAATACAAAAACGAGCATTTAAAAGAATTCTGAAGCAAAAGCCTTCTGTCCAACAAATACACTATAGTAATCCAACCAAGTGGCAACTACAAATAAATGACACAAGACCCTTTTGAATTTACATTTTACTTTTTAGTGGATGTATGAAGTGGCCTTAAGCTCACAAAAATGGCAACAAAAGTAGTAAAACTGTTTAAAACCTATTTAAATGTGTTTCAGAAAGCAATAGGTGTTCCAGAACTTCTGCCACAATTTTTTATATTATTTTATATTATTTCCATTGAGGTTAATATTATATCCAATATATTACAATACAGGGCTCTGAAAATAATGCTTTGGCCATTTATGTAGGCTATGTCTCTCCAGCACAAGCTTTCTCCTGTCTTCCCGAGAAGCTGCTCACTGCAGAGCAAATGGGTGGAGCTTACGTGGACCTCCTCCTCGCTAGAGCTCCAGCGAGGAGGAGTGAATGTAATTAGGGCCTAATGAGTGGAGCTAGAATATCCAACAACAGCTACCTACTACCCAAAACTCTAGCCCTCCACCCCCTTAGAGCTCCAGAGAGGAGGGGCTGGACTAATCCCACCCCCTTTGAGCTCCAGAGAGGAGGAGCTGGACTAATCCCACCCCCTTTGAGCTCCAGAGAGGTGGAGCTGGACTAATCCCTTTGACTCTGCAGTGAGTGAGTACCACTTGTTTCTTCCACAGAAAACCGCGCATTTTAACTGTAAATTTCGTTTTACTGGCTGACTGACTAATTATGTTTATCAATATCTTTATTGAATAATTACTTATAATTAATAAATATGATTTTGAATAGATCTGACACACTTATTGAAAAGAACATGATGCTAATCGATAAGATATTTTTGTTTACGGACCAAAAGTAGCATGTCCCGCACTGTGGTAAGAAATAAATGCCTATAGCATTTAAATGTAGCCTACTGATAGGCCTATATAGGTGATATCAAGGTGATAAATAACATTGCCAAATGATTGTTTATTCATTTTTGTAATGTCTGTAAATATATATTTCATATTTTAAAGACCATATTGTGTTAAAGTTATTTGTTGCTGAAGAAATTTCAAATCTGGATAGCCTATAGCCTACCCTGTTAAATAGCCTTTAACGTTAAATCTTACATATTAGACCAATTTAAAGCTGCAGTCCGTAGCTTTTTTAAGTTAAAAATAATCCAAAATAATTATATTAAAAAAAACGTATTCTGCCAGTGGTCAAAACTATCTGCTTGCCATAGCTAGATTCAAAACGGTTAGCTTTTCTCGCAGCACTTTACATAATTAAACTTATGGCATCCAGAAAGATCCAAACAACAATCATCAGTGTCAACTGGAGATTCAGCAGTTATAAAACCCAAAAGACTTCGTACTTCGGATTTAAGGTGGCTAGAGAAAGAAAAGAAACCGTCTCATAAGAACACAAGGATTTAAACATCGGCGGGGCTTTTGAAAAGTGCATGAACTCCGTGTTTTGAAGGGGTTCAAAACGGAAGAGACGGCTTTTTTCTGCTGAACAAGTAAGTTAAGACATTTCAATAGTTCAATCGTGTATCAGTACGTTTTCTTAATTCATTTCACACAGTTATGGAGTTTCCTTTGTTGTGCCTTTCTCGTTTTGCTATTATGGAGAATATGAATTCTGAACTACACAGGTAACCATAAAACACATTAAATTTAACATTAGTCACGCAATGCTGATGTGATGTTGTTAACATGAACAATTTGAGAACAAAGTAGGCTATAATTTGCACGGTTGCTGTAAATCGCGTTGATTAAATCTAACGAAGCTTATCATGTCGAATGCTTTTTCCCCCTTAGTTGGTCAGAACAAAAATGGATGTTACTTACTTGTTCAGAAGACATTTTCTTATGAAAATTCTTATGTTGGTCAAACTTTCAAAAAGTGAATCTGTGATTCTGTATGACAGTATCCACACAGCGCGGTGACTGACAGCACCACTCGCCTGAAAACACTGTGTTCATCCGCGCTGTTTCATGCCGATGTACAACCCACGTAAAGATGATAATTCCGCGAATCACTGCAGTTACAGATTTCTAACAGAGAGATGGCGACAAAGAGGAAAAGATACGGACTGCAGCTTTAATATTATTTAAAGTCCCCGTGAACCGGAAGTTTCAAAAGACTTTTCTAAAGTGTTGTGACGTATTTCCGAGAGAAACGGAATACTAAATGAGGCAAAATAGTGGGCGTGGCTTTTTTTCCAACTAGCACCTGATTGGATCTAGAAAAGTAGGTGTTGTCATTCAGCCTGTCTACTGTCAGTTGAAGGGGCGTGGTTACGGATGTTAAGCAGACACCCAAACCGTCAAACCTACGTCATCAGGGAAGGTCCTCCAATGCAGAGGAGAGGGGAAATTTCAGATTTTGATTAAAGATTACGAAGCCAAAAAAAATTTTTTTGTGGATTGACTTGCATGGATGAATTGTTCACCACAAAACGATCAATTTAGGCAAACAAAGTATGGTCAATTTTGAATTCATGGGGACTTTAAAAATAACGTTAGGGGAACGTTAAAGTAACGTTATAATAAAGTTATTTAACTAAGAAAACTTTCCTGGCTAACCAAAAACAAACCTTAAAGGGATACTCCACTTTTTTTGGAAATAGGCTTATTTTATAACTCCCCCAGAGGTAAACTGTTGAGTTTTACCGTTTTTGAATCCATTCAGCCGATCTCCGGTTCTGGCGGTACCACTTTTAGCATAGCTTAGCATACATCATTGAAGTAGACAAGACCATTAGCATTTCTCAAAAAAAAATGACCAAAGAGTTTCGATATTTTTCCTATTTAAAACTTGACTCTTCTGTAGTTACATCGTGCACTAAGACCGATTTTCTAGGCTGATATGGCTAGGAACTATACTCTCATTCCTGCGTAGTAATCAAGAAACTTTACTGCCGTACCATGAGTGTAGCAGGCGTAATGATATGACGCAGCGCCTGAAAATAGTCCCCAGCTCGGCAACTTCCAACGTGACCGGGACCTGCGCCTGCTGCACTCATGGTACGGCAGTAAAGTTTCTTGATTACTACGCAGGAATGAGAGTATAGTTCCTAGCCATATCAGCCTAGAAAATCGCAACTTTACATTTTCCGTCGGTCTTAGTGCACGATGTAACTACAGAAGAGTCAAGTTTTAAATAGGAAAAATATCGAAACTCTTTGGTCATTTTTTTTTTTGAGAAATGCTAATGGTCTTGTCCACTTCAATGATCTATGCTAAGCTATGCTAAAAGTGTTACCGGCAGAACCGGAGATCGGCTGAATGGATTCAAAAACGGTAAAACTCAACAGTTTAACTCTGGGGGAGTTGTAAAATAAGCCTATAGAGATCGCTAAGACATGTGACCAAGTGGGCGGCAACGTCATCAGAACCCAAAGAATTATGGGTATGTTTGGCCAGTTTACATGGGCTGGCACATAGCAGGCTTGCTTTCTGGCATGAAAAAAACAAAACAAACAGTAGTGTGAAAAACATTATAATCCTACAAAATGCAGCGGGCTAAAGATAATATTGTCTGACCATATCGCCTAAAGCTAAATGATAATGCAAAGACGAGATACGAGGAGAAAATAAAGGAAATCAAAGGACTGGATCCGTATGAGCATATAGTGACTGGTCAGGAGACGTCAACCTGCTGCCCAACTTCCAGCACCCATATATATATATAACTACATGATATTAAATGTTAGTGCATACACACACGAAGTTTTCAGTAACTTCAAGTCGCTGCAGCAGGCCCAAGTCTTTTTTACAGATGGATGGGTCCAGGACCTGGAGATTGTAAAAGTGGGGCAGAAAACTGTCGTCCGTTCAAAGGTATCCTAATGTTTTATGCACCACACTCATCGCACTCTCTCGTCTATCTGCATGCAGCATGCAGTCAGAATTCATGTTAAGATTGCAATTTAGGAGTGTACGTGTGTTCCCGCTAGAGAGAGAGAGGGAGGGAGGGGTCGCGGGCGTCGAACAGTGGAAACATAAAAGCATACTTCGTCATTTTGTTCATACAGGACATAATTCAAACAGAACTGCAAAGTGTTTACTTATATGTGTGTACACTCGCAATAAAACACAACATTGTGCTTTTGTCACACTCTAAACTCTTGTCAAACTGTAACAACGGTCAACCAAACACACACACACACACTGTTTTAAAACATATTTATCCAAGCCCATTTCAAAACAGTCCGTGGGTTCCATCTTTTGGACATTACTCGTGTCGCATTGGTTTTAATTTCTTGTCCAAAGAGCAAAGTTACATATTCTACATTGATTAAAATAGAAAATCAAATGTTTTTAATGGTAGTCTTATTTTATACAGAAATCAATTAAATTTAGGGTTAATTAAAATGAATGAAAAAAAAAAAATTTTGTCTTATTAATATTATTTTAATTAATAAACTAATTATGTAAAACTATTCTCAGTGCACTACAAATAAACTGGTTCTATGCATTTATTATTAAAACTTTTTTTACAAAAAATAATTTATAAAAATGCCTTCTGCCTTCTTGTTTTGCTTTTCACTCCATTGTACCGAACCGTGATGTCTGAACCGAGGTATGAACCGAACCATGACTTCAGTGTACTGTTCCACCCCTACGTAAATGTGATGAATAGTTTACACCGTGAGAACGGCTATTACAGTTTACAACGCCGCAGGTAGACGGCATCTTGTACACTGCTTTTACTCCATGCAATCAAGTCTGGCGCCTTGCCTTGTCTTTGTGCCGCGGATTCCCAAAATGCTTTGCGTTCACCACTGGTAATACGTCACTGGTGACGTCACATTAGCAATCTCTATTTCCAAAAAAAGTGGAGTATCCCTTTAAAAAAGAACGTTCGGGGAACCAAAAATTGTTAGCTGGGTTCAATGATATTCATTCATATTTAACTGTAACTTGACGTTGAAATACATTTCAGGGCCTATTTGAACAACATAGCCTACTTTATGTTCCCTTACCTGTTTTCTGAGACCAATATCTGCTCAAGCAGCTTGGCAGACTCGTATGTGATTTCTACAGCAGGGGTCTGCAACAGCTGCAAGAGAAGCTCCAGACCCCCATCCAGCCGGATCCTGTTGCAGATCTCCTCTGCTACCTGACGACCCACTGTGGGCAGGACCCAGGCCTCCTCAACCAGCTGGAAAGTTTCAGCAATGGCTCGGCGAGTCTCTTCCATGTCTCCTGTATCTTTGGAGGACTTCAGCGTTTTGACTGCGGAGCGCAACGCAGGAAGAGAGACTTCCAACACGACCTGGACGTCGGTGCTGATCCCCGGAGACACAGCCCTGGGGTCGGAGCCCGTCCTCCGGTTGTGTAGCCGACTACTGACATATCCAGGAACCGTGAGTCTGTCGGAGCTAAACATGGAGAAATAACGGCAAATCTTGCTGAGATAAACGACGAGGGACAAAAACATGTATGCCAGGTGTTTGTCTGTTGTTACCACAGTTCTGATGTTTCTTTGTCTTTCAACTGTAACAAAAAAATAATCACGTCGCGGTTAACTCATTACGTTATCAAATCGTTTAATGCGAAACAGTTTAATCCATTAACAGCGACTGTTTGCACCAAACGACAGAATCCTGCTGATGTCAGGAAAAAATAAAATAAACGCAAATGACGTCAGAGACGTTACAAAGCCTTTAAGATACCCTTTACGAATCCACCGTTAGAAAAGGCCCATCAAGCTTGTTTAAAAACCATCAAATACCAAGATAAAGCTGTAAGACTGACTCGATCTTTGAGGAAAAATTAGACAAAATTAGCCGGTTTGTTGATGTAGGCTACATTGGCAATCGATCAGATCTCGTCAGGCAAAGACGAATATTTCCACTGTCCTTTTGCCACACTCGGAGAGATTAGGCTACTGTGCAAGCCAACTAAAGCGATATGCCTAGGCTACTTGTTAAATAACAATATGATGCTGCCATATTTTGAATGAAGTCAAGATTGTTGATAATGGATGCTGCTCAAGCATCCTCAGCGTCCGTTTGTAGACCCGCCCAGGTATGTGGAGAATCAACCTCGGCATCAAAGTGGTGCTCTGCAGAGTCAAATGATGTCCAGCTCCTCCTCTCTGCACGTCTAATGGGGTGGAGGAATAGAGTTGTGGGTAGAGAGCTAGAGAGCCCCGTTCACCGCCAGCGACAAAGCGACATGATCCCATGGAGCGCTGGCGACATCCAGCGACACGAGCGACAGTAAGTGACAGAATGTGGGCGTGTCAAGAGACAAGCGACAAAAGTTGAGAAATTTCAACTTTATGCAAATGAGAAGAGATTTGGAAAGAAGATTTTCAGTGGAGCTCACGTCACCATCGAGATTTCACTGTTTTATATGATTTGACTGTAACCACATACATGGATATAATAAAATGACGAATGGAAAAGAAACTGTCGACAGTCTCAGTGAGTTCATATACATTTATAGTTCGAGACTAGTGTTGTAATTTTATGATGCAAGTTTAGCACTGCTGCTGCAGATCATTTTACAGTTTCCCAATCCCCTGCATTATGTTGACTATTAGGGACAAGACAATTGATTATTTGTCAAATTCGAATGACGTTTTAGTAATTTATGACAGAATGAGTGAGTTTAATTTGTTGATTGATCGATCGTTAATCTAGTAAATGATTTAATCCACTGAACACTGCTGTGGTAATATAAAAACACTCTCCCAACAGCATACTGTTTCTTTTGAGCCTAATTCCTAGTTAAATTAAAATGATATAGTTGTATATGTCACTTCTGATGGTATTTTGTATAGATATATGGCCAGACGTGCAGTCTACCAATAACATTAGAGCGACAGCACTACGAACGCCTACAAGCGACTTCACAGTACAGAGACAAGCGACATGTAGCTGCTAGCGATAAAATCGCTGGCGGAGACGGTGTGGTTAGATATTCTGTAGCATGTGTTGTTCAGTGCAATGCTTGGCTCCACCTGCTGGAGAAAGACGATAATGCACCAAACCTACCAAAGGTGGAGCAATTAAAGGGATAGTTCACTTTGAAATTAATTTTTGGTATGTTTTAGCTTACCTCAAGGGCATCCAAGATGTAGGTGTCTTTGTTTCCGCAGTAGTTTCAATTTTTATATTTTTAGGTCAAACTGTCCTTGTCTGTCAGTCATATAATGCAGGTCTATGGTCACTTCCTCAAAGAGCATGCACAGAGAAGTCCAAAAACGAACAGTATTTATATCGTTTTTACCTCTTGTAAACACAGCCACGTCCAAGTGATCTGAGGGCGCGGGCGCTTCGGTCTTTTCCGGCAAGCGCCGGAAGTGATCTCTTGCGCGTGTACGTCACTCATACAATTGTTTTATGTATTTATTTTTTTAATCGTTTTCTTTTACGACGATTTAAACATCCCAGATAAGCGCAAATTAGTACCATTTTAATTAGCCGTCTTACCTACAATCTCTGTTCTGTGTAAACAATGAGTGATGTACACGCGCGAGAGATCACTTCCGGCGCTTTCCGGCGCATGCTGGAAAGGACCGAAGCGCCCGCGCCCTCAGATCACTTGGACGTGGCTGTGTTTACAAGAGGTAAAAACGATATAAATACTGTTCGTTTTCTCACACAAATCGCTCATTTCGTGTCTTAGGCCATCAATGTGTACTTACATTTACGAGTCATTAAATCATGTTTAATTTGGATTTCTCTGTGCATGCTCTTTGAGGAAGTGACCATAGACCTGCATTATATGACTGACAGACAAGAACGGTTTGACCTAAAAATATCAAAATTGAAACTACTGCGGAAACAAAGACACCTACATCTTGGATGCCCTTGAGGTAAGCTAAAACATACCAAAAATTAATTAAGGGGGGTCAACCTCAAAAAATTAAGGGGGGTCAACCTCATAACACCCCATCAACCGCATAGTAAGTAACATGGTAAACACCTTCGGAACGCATCAGAAACCACTTAAAACACCTTTGAAACTCCACAACAACACACTTAAACACCCAGAACACATTAGTAACCACATAAAACCTTAATAGAAAATGAAAATATCATGTTTGTAAGCAGTTGTGCAAGGTCTGTGTGTAGATGCTGACAGGTTACAGAATGGTAACCTGCGTCCAATGGACCTATTAATCATTCACTTTTCACAGAAGTCAACAGGGTTATTTGTCCCTATAGTGCATACCCGTAAAGTATGTCATGGTGGACTCTGTTAAACAGACTATAGGCTATCTTACATTTTGAAAGTTGTAAACAATCATTATTTGTTTTGTAATACCTTTAAATGGATCACTCAAAATAATGTAATCCACAAAAACATCCAAAGTCATTTACTATGACCGGATTTATTAATGTTAATATTATTCAAGTTAAAGAAATGTTACATAAAGTAGTCCTCATTAAACAGCTTTGTCTTTGTTATTATTATTAGAAAGCAAAACAATCCCTGTCTGGTTTTAATGATTACATTTGAACAAAGACGAAAACATATTGCAAAAAATAAGCAAACAAAAGACTGTGAGTGACCTCTGAATCTATTGATCCACTGATTTCTCTTTGGTCCTGATGGTCTCAGTTCTTCAGTCACATTCACTAGACACCAGGATGAGGCTTCTTTTGCTGCTAGGACTGCTTTTCTTCACATATGCGGCTGAGCAAGGTGAGAACGCTTACTTTTTATAACGATTTGATGTATATTTTCTGTGTTATGTTGGAAATGTGCTCTTCTTCCTGTCAGAGTCATGTATTGAGCGCTGTGAAAATGGGTTTGACGCCACCAAGAACTGCCAGTGTGACTCTATGTGCACATACTACAAGAGTTGTTGCACAGACTATGAGTCCTTATGTCGTATTAGGAGTAAGTTTACCATTGTGGTTTCATCAACCATTTCATAAACATGTGAAATGCAATGATCAAAACAGATGCATGAGAAACTATTCTTGTTGCAGCCCGTGGAGACACCTTTCCTTCTTACCCTGAGGATGATTACGAGGAGACAAATACCACAGAGGTACCAATCAGATCCAGATCACAGCAAAGAATTTTGACCCCTTCTCCAGCAACCTTTGCTGATATATTCAGCCTATTAACACCAACTTCTCAAGTCTTGGATTCGACGTTAAATGATGACCCATCACCAGTGATTTCCACTGCTGCCACTCCAACTACACATTACCCTCTATTACCCTCCACCATCAAGACCCCAACAACAACTGCACGAACAAACTCAACTGCTGATCCCACACCAACAAAAGCCAGAGACCCTGACACTGAGGTCTGCAGTGGCAGACCCTTTGACTCCTTCATGCAGCTCAAAAACAGCTCTACATATGCATTCAGAGGTAAGTGCCTCACAGCAAAGAACGAAAATGTAAACAGTATACAAAATGACTTTACATTTTTTACAGTTGTAACGTAGGGTGACCAAACGTCCTGTTTTCCCAGGACATGTCCTGCTTTCACGTGCTGTCCTGGCTGTTTTTTATTAAGTGATGAAAATTTCCTGGTTTTCATTATTTTTCATTGGGCCATTAAGAAAGAAAAACAGGATAAAGAGGAAGAAGAAAACTAAATTGTGCCGAGTGTCCTTGTTTTCGATAATCAAAATATGGTCACCCTATTGTAACGTGTAGTCAGTTTTTGTTTTTGTTTTTCTGTTCCGTTCCTGTTTTACCTATACCTGAGTAGAGTTCCTAGTTAGTTTCCTTGGTTATTAATTAGCTCAATACCGGTTCTGTTATAGTCAATAGTCCTCTGTGTATTTAAGCCTTCAGTTTGCTGTGTTTCATTTTCTGGTATTGTTGTAGTTCTCTTTCATAGGTTCACTCAACGCTGCGGAAAGCGCAGTGGGATATCCTCTGGATGTGCCGATTGCCTGAAGCCCTATAGAATCACGCCAATTCATTGGCTGATGGCGCTCGCGCAAAGCTGGCTCCGCCCCGACGCTCTTACGTCGTAGCATGATGAACGCGCGCGCGCCATCTTCTCCTCAGATTTCTCTGCCTTCACGAAGCGGTCACATCTCGCCCTTCGTTCGGTTTTTCTGAGCCCGAATTCTTCAAATTCAACTTCAGCTTTCGTCTCGACACTTCAGCGACTGGTATAAGTGGAACTCTGTTCTCCTTACAGTGAAGTGTCATGGATTATCGACGCTGCTCTCCGCCATGCGTTCGTTTTATCTCGAACGACGACCCTCACAGTAAGTGTGTTAAATGTATGGGTTTTTCGCATGCGCGTGAGGCTGTATTGGGATTGTCGAAATGTAAATTTTGTGACAATCTCCTTCTCAAAACCCTCCGCTCTAGACTCGCGGTTTTTGAGAAGGAGTCATTCGTTCCCCCCCGTCGCGCTCCCGAGACTGCTGAGGCCTCTCGTGGATCCGCGGCCTGGGGCTCGGATGTTGAGCTCGAGGATATTGAGTATGAGCAGACGGGCCTCGCCCTTTCTCTCCCTCCCTCTCCCGAGCACGCACGCGGCGCGGTTGAATTCGCGCATGATTATTTATGTCCCAGCCCGGGAGCCCGCGAATCGGTTTCTTTCGGTCTGGATGACGTGATTTACACTGCAGCCTCCGACTCCGAGGATTTCGGGCCTGCTTTGGCTGATGACGTTATCCCACCTAGCGGCCAGGACGCGCGGCCTACTCCGGCCTACACTGAGCTTATTGACGTGCTGTCGCGCGCTACAGAGAAGCTCTCTATTGACTGGCCTGATGAGCCCCGCGAGTCTCAATCGTCCAAACTCGACGAGAGGTTCCTACGTGGCCCTAATTCTAGGCCAGAGCGAAGAAAG